GGGCTCTTGTCTAAACCGACTAAGGACACCCACTAATTGATTTGTTTGATCAGGTCCCTGTAAAGGTTGTTGATTCAATGATGTCCCTCCGTACTTGGCAGCACAATCATAAACTACTCTCACTTTGCCGGGTTTTAAGGGGTGAGTAACGGGATGATGAGGTAGGTACCACACCGGTCTGTCCTTTATCTCTAACTCTTCATCGGGAACCTTTTCAGCGTGGCCACTTTCAATGTAATCAGCCATTGTTGTCTTGTATTTCTCCAACAAGGCTTCGTCTTTCAGGAGTCGTTTCTTTAGAAGCAAGCCTCTTCGCTCTGCAACTACCCTGTTGTTAGGTAAAATGGTGGCTCATGTCGCCAAGGCAGGGCAACCTGAAAGTGTCCATCTACCATCTTAAGAGTTCTCTCCATTATTTCTAGGGCCCTTTTGTCTTCCAACGATGCACAAACTCGCGTCTCGACTTCACAGTTTTCAAAATCTGTTCTCCACAGTCGCTCCAACTGTTGACTAAGCTCATCGTCCCGAGCTTGACGATCAATTTCATCTATCTGTAAACGATGCTTGGGTTCATTGGCATTACATTCTAGTTCGAGGACACAGTTCATGTCTGCAACATTCTCTTCATAGGCATCTTCACTGTTTAGCCCTGTAGACAACACAACACTCTTCTTGTGGTCTTTGCAAAGAACATAATCTTCAAAATCTAAACCACCTGCGCACACAACAGAGCTATCTTCCATACGTAGGTAGTTGACTGAGCGTTTGGCAGTACAGCTTTCTCCACCAACAGGACCTATCACCGTCCATCCCAGGCTGTACCTAATTGCTACTGGTTCTCCTTTGCCACCAGCTCGGCATTCTAACGGCAAGAACAAGCTTGGGTTGTCTTTAAGACCAACAATTAACATGACACTTGTGATGTCCAACTGTCGTAACTCAATATCACGCAAATGAGGCCAATTTTCAAGGTCCTCCTTCTTGGCTATACAGCTCTCAGTTATAGGCATATGGTTGACTGTCCTGACGCTTGAAAGTTCCACTGTCACTGATTCATCCATTGACATCACCACAAGATCTACTTGTTGACTTTCCACTCTGGCTGAGCCCGTCATCCCTGCTAAAGTGAAGTCCAGCCTCGTGCCGCTTGCACCCAATGTCTCCTTCAACTTTTCATGGCAAAGAGTCACTTCTGAGCCACTGTCCAACAACGCATATGTTTCAACAGGTATCAAATTGCTACCTTTGGCTAGGACCTTGACTGGAACAACACTAAGACAGACTCGCTCGCCGGCCCCAGTTGCAGCAGTTACGGCAGCACCTTCACTAGTTACTCCACTGGTTTCACTGTTGGTGTTCGCCCTTGTTTCTTCCTGATTAAGCTGGCGTGGATTAACACTTGGTGGGGTTGAATCTGCTGGAGGGGGGTGTAGCAGTGTGTTGTGTTCCTTCTTACATCCATTCACTTGACATTTGAACTGAGTTTTGGGGCAGTTTCTTGCAAAATGACCGCTCTGGAGACACTTGATACAAAGGCTTTGTTCATGCACTACTTTCCATCTGTCTTGATGAGATTGCTTCTTAAACTTATCACACCTCCACACACCATGCTGACCACGACAAACGGTACAAGCAGGCATTTTTTGGTTGTGTCCCCCATCTCCCTGTCGACCTCGGACACCTCCAGATAGTGACACAAGTCTTCGAGGATTTCGACCTCGTTGGTCTCTCCGATTCACATTCTCCCTTTCCTTCGAAGGAGCAGCGTTAAGATCCTCTCCAAACTCATTATTAACAAGCGCAGCTCTGTCCTTTAAGTGTTTAAGGAAGTCTGCAAACTTAGGTTTCGATCCAAATGAAATAATCCTTCCTGCACATTCTGTCCACTTGACCCTCATAAACAGTGGCAGCTTCTTGTTCAGTTCCCTTAACGTATTCGTGTGATTCAAATCGCTGACGTATTCAGGCCCCATGCCTGACAGTGTTTTATTGGCAACATCTAAATGGCGGGCAAATTCAAGTAAACTTGCTCCATTCGCCTGTTTCAAGGGAGGTAGGTCTTCCAACTTCTTGATATGTGCTTTGGCTATGATGTGAGGCAGTCCAAAGTTTTCGCGTAAGGTATTCTTAGCTACATAATATCCCTCGTCTACTGGTAGATTCACACAACTTTCAATGGCATCCCTTGCCTTGCCATAACAGTGTTGGATTAATAGCTGTAATCTCCTGGAGTTGTCGGGGTTATCTTTCTCTAAGCAGGTTTCAAAATTGTGCATGAACGAGACATACTTTATGGGGTCTCCATCGAATCTCATGTACTCAATCCTTGGGGCAGAAACAACTTGACGCAGTGCTTGTACTATCTCTGCTCTGCTATCTGGTGTCACCGATACTGGTTCTCGCATATAACATTCTGCTGGAACTGCACCAGGGGTCTGGGACCAGGGTACCTGAGTTGGCCATTGTGAGTACTCTTTGGTGTTAAAGTGGGTTGTTAGTGGTGTCTGTACTTGTTGTGATAAATTTAGCACTGATGGATTTACAGGCGGATTTCTCAATGCTTCAGTGTCCTTTGCGTTATTCAGTTGCTCTGTATGTTTACCTGTTCCAGCTTCATCAACATAAACTGTATGCTCGGTTTCTGAGAACACTGGGTTGGGCACTGTAACGCTTGCTGACTGAAATGTCTTAGCAGCTGAATTCATGATTCTCTCATTGACTCTTAATGCAGGCACCTGCTCCAGAGGTGCAAGCTCTTGTACTAGTTGTTCGTGTGGCTCGATTAGCTGCGACTGAGCCACATTCTGTGCCTGATTCCCATGTGGATGTAAGGTTTCCTCAGGTATAAACTCTGCTAAACGCTCCCTATACTGACTCTTCCTGCATTGATTCTCAAACTCTTCATACACATTAAGACTCGCTTTAGCCCACTCTTCCTCCATCTTAGCCTCCAACATGTCCTTCTCAAATTGAAGCTCACTTAATTTGCGTTGTAACTGTTGTTCCTGCAGTACTTGCTTGGTCTTCAGTTGGGCTAGGGCAAGTTTTTCCTTTTTCTTCGCCACTGCTAATGAAGCTGAACTTGAGCCAGTTGACCCGCTTTTCGTACTCTTCCTTGACTTTCTTGGATAGGATTTCAAGTCATTCTCTCGTTTCTTAATACTAGACGTGACTTGGAATTTCCATGTTTCAATTTCATTGTCAAATGTTGCTTTCTTTGACATCTGCTCCTTGTAGTTAGCGTCAGCCCTTTCAACGTCTTCACAACGACTAAGAACATCAAGACATTCAATGTACTCTTCATGGGTGTTCACGAATCTCCTCCAAGCTTCTTCATACGAATCTCGCTTTAATTGTAAGTCTTCCAAAGTTCCACAGTTCTCAATTATGCCTTGAATGTTCCCTCGCAGTCTCGTGAGGGTTGCAACATAACCTGCACAGGAATATTTCAATGTGTTTGCCCTCTCAGCTGTTCTACTTTCAAAATCTATATTAGATGGTACTTTAACTCGGGAACTTCTTCTTAATTGGGTTCCAAGTCTGCCCTCTGACAGAGTTTCCTGGACATTTTGTTGTTCCAGTTTGTCAGCAACAGGCACTGATCGAACAGACATTTTGCTCCACTGTACTATTGGCCACAAAACAAATAAACTCCAAACACAAACAAGATGGCTATTGTCACATACCTTAGACATCCACTATTTTCTCTGATAGCAAATAAGTAATATAAAAGTCCCACACAAGTCTCAAAGGTTGTACATGTAAAACAATTCTCGCAAAGCAACGAGCGTGATGCAGTGTCAAATAACACGAAAATCGTTCGCATAAACCAATGTTCTCCCCGAGAACAAAACGATCCAAAACGTTTCCAAACAACTGAATGAGCAACAAATCCACACGTGAATGAGACCAATCTCTGTTAGAATATCGTTCTCCGCGAAGAATTGAACTAGACGTAAGCTTGAATCATCCGTAGACGTGGACACAGTTCCAATGAACACGACAAAGTTCCAAATGCGACAAATCACAACAAATTCTTGTCAAATAAATGTTCTGCCTGAGAACAAAACGATCCAAACGTTCCCACACACTTGAATGAGCAACAAATCCAGACGTAAATAAGAACCAATCCCTGTTAGAATATCGTTCTCCGCGAAGAATTGAACTAGACGTAAGCTTGAATAATCCGTAGATGTGGACAATTCCAATGAACGCGACAAAGTTCCAAATGCGACAAATCACAACAAATTCTTGTCAAATAAATGTTCTCCCTGAGAACAAAACGATCCAAACGTTCCCACACACTTGAATGAGCAACAAATCCAGACGTAAATAAGAACCAATCCCTGTTAGAATATCGTTCTCCGCGAAGAATTGAACTAGACGTAAGCTTGACTAATCCGTAGATGTGGACAATTCCAATGAACGCGACAAATCACAACAAATTCTTGTCAAATAAATGTTCTCCCTGAGAACAAATTCCAAATGCAAATGCGACAAATAACAGACAAATCCTTACTTGATGCCGTGCTTTCCTTGAAAGCAAGTTCCAAATCCGATCAATGAAACTCAAACTTGTCGAAGCTGTGTTCTCCCTGAGAACCAAAACATCAATCGATTCGGCGAACAGTTCTTCAACTGTGAGTTCCACAAATTGAACCCTGATTAAAGCACTTTATTCCCTGAATACTGCTTCCTGTACTTGCTCCAAAAAAGTCACTTTAAATATACAGTGTACGTGTCCTTATACTTGTACTTGTACGTTGAAGAACTGTTTGCTCTTACAGAAAACAACAACAAAAAATGGCGCCCAGCTCTACCATGTGCTCTCCGGTCACATGATAGTCATGTGACCGGAAGTCCGAACCAAAACGCAGAAATGGAAATAAAACAAAAAAAAAAGGGGAAAAATGAAACAAATAGAATAAAATAAACTGACGACGGTCGGTAGTTACAGGTGCCTTGCGACGAACAGTTAGCTGTTCCATACCGAAATATTGGCAAATACTTTGTAACATGTTGATACTGAACTTGTTTAGCGAACTTGCGTGATACATTTCGCATAGGTCAAAATTGTCGAAGGTGATGGGGTGTTGGAGTTGAACCTCTCGAAGGATTTGTTCTCGAGTATCCCAGTACTGCTGTTGCTCGGCAGCAGCGTCATGATCTCTTCTCTCATCCTCGGTGGATTGATTGCGCAGTTTGCCTGCTTGTCGAGAGAAGTACGACTGAACTTGCTGCGTAGTTAGAAATTCACTACGGGTGAAAAGCCGTTCACCCTCAGCAGTTCTGGCGTAACGCATGTCGTGAGCTACGGAAGCTGGATCCTGTTTGTGACCTGTTTTCTGGCCGATTTTAAACTTTTCGTCAAGATACCCCTTTTGTGATTCGCTGAGTCGTCCTGATTTTTTCGTTTGCTTTAACGCCCACCCTTTAACAATTTGACTGGTATTTACTACGCTTTCTCGAACAGAAGCTTCAGCACAATGGCTTGTCACGTCTTTGCTTGTTCCTTCTGTTAGCTTGGCGTGGTTCATTTGCCTCGCCTGGTCAAGAAGGGTGACTCTTTCTACACGCATTTCACACTTTCCATAAGACAGATGCTTTTCAAGGGCTGAAAAACTCTGATAACTTTTAACACATCCTTCGTTAGGACATTGGAAAAGATCTGGATCAAATTCTGCCTCCTCTGGCCCTTCAGAAAAGTTTTGATTTTTAGAAGACTCAAGAGGTAACGCTGGATATCCTTCTTTACCGACATCCAAGAAGTCGCCGGCTGAAAATTTCTCTTGAAATTACCACAGAAGCTGTTTGTAGCTGAATCACACTTACGTCTTTATCTTACTTTGTCACGCTCTGATTATGTTGTTGTCCTAAGTGTCTTGTGGGATGCGTACGATAATGTATCCGCAAAAGTCTGCGCATACTGTGAAATTATAAAACAGCTATGTTGATGGTAAGAGTTAAAATATATCTGTCCTCGCGTTATTGTACGGAAAGTTTTTGCCACACGAGAGAATGCAACTGAGAACAAAAAAAGGTATTTTAATGTGTTCGCGTGTCGCTTTTTTCCTTACTTTAAGTCTGCATTTTTAATCTTTCCTTATAAAAAAAATATTTATAACAACCTGTTGGTAGCTGTTTGTCGATGATTTTTCCACAGCCGACGTTGTAGGATCGCCATACTCGCATTGACGCACCAGTATACTGTAGGTTGTTGATCAAACTGATGCCATCCAATTTTATGGGGCTGTCCTTGATACCTAATGAATCGACAAGTGTCACTCTTACCCCAGGTACTCCGGCGATCCTTCAGCTGATAGCATCGCGGTTTCAAGGTCCTTTGGAGTTTGAACATCGTGTCCCTCATTAACAAATCTACGAACATGAGCTTTGATGGTGGCTGCTGCGATCGCACGGGCCTTTACCACCTTGAGGATCACTAAAGTCTACTCTAGAAACAGCGATTCCAGTGACATCACCCATAGAGTGGCATGCAGCAAGCATCGTAGCATTATGGTAACATTATCCTGCCTAAAACATGCCGTAGAAATTTCAGGATTCTCCGTTTTTAGTGTGCGCAGTATGTGTTCCATGATCCGGATAACTACCGAGCTGTCTTGGTAACAGTTTTTAACAATGTGGACGAAAGACTGATTCTGAAGTTTTCCATTAAGTCTTCTTGCCGCCACGCTTATGTGCCATGAGATGCCTCTCTTGGCAAACCAGTCTGCCTGAGATTCGCGGTATTTTTGTGGCAAAAATTTCATGGTCCAGTCTTGGGTGATCATTACAGACGAATTGTCTAGTTGTTCAAGTGCGTCTACTCTGGCCATGTCCTGAATTTTGCTTCTCAGCTGATGAGCCTTCCAAGACAGAATGTTTTGGGCTGCTTCATCGGCCACATGGCGTAAGTCATCTAACTTTGCAGTTGGAAATCCCAGATCCTCTCTTTCTAAGTATTCTTGAATGGCAGACACTAGTTCTTCACATCGGGGGCACGTCCTACCATGATCGTGATCGCAAGGGCTGCTGAACAAGGGTTTCTTGTCATCGCTTAGAGCGTATACGCTACAGTGGTCAGCCACGGGCGAAGAGGGAGATACGTGCACCTATGTAACAAAAATGTAATAAAAGCAATAAGCGAAATAATTTTAAACGACAAAGGTAAAATAGTGCAAAAGTATGCTTCATGACAGAAAAGTCAAAATTGACGGCAACGGTAAATGGTCATGTGGACTGAATACATCCAATTAGGTCTATTTTTTCCATCATACTGTGCAATTGCACCGAATTTTATAAGGAACATTACAGGGAAATTGACGTTTTTGTTGTTTTGTTCCATTATGAGACTAGCCTTGAATACCTTGTAATCTGACTTTATATATTGCTTTGCACTCTTTACACAACTTCTCCACAGCTCAGAAACATCTGTCTTCAATACCCCATATTCCTCTAGTCGCTTCACCACATGACATAGGTCGTCGCAAGCTTTGCCTCCTTCTGCGGCAATATAGTCGATTCCTTGCAACGACTTTCTTACGGTGGCACTACAGGCTGCGAGGATAGCCAACATTGTTGTACGTCCAAATGGTTTGAACCCGAATTCGTCGCAGTATTTAGTGTACTGCTTAACAATACGTTCTGGAATCATACTTCGAATTACGTTTGGTGTCTCCAGTACTTCGCCAGTTGAAAGCTTTAAGTACTTTTGCCCAAATGGAAGATCTTGTATGATGTGCGGACTTGTTATAAACGTCAAAAAATGATCAAGCTGGGTGGCCTCTACTCTCATTCGGGGACTATACCTTGATGGAAGTGGATTCCCTCGACCATAAACATGTTTGTGCAGTCGCGCAGTTTTCACTCGGTACTCAGTGATACCAGGTAGATACCTCTGAAGGCGTTCGATGGGGACTAGATCAGCCATTATGGACAAGACTTGTCTTCTAGTATCCCAGGCGGATGCATTTTTGTATGTTTCTGCCAAGGCTTCAAGATATTTGCGGTCGGCACTACCTTCATATCCAAGCTCTTTGTCGACAAGCATTGAAGACTGAAGTGCATCCCATAAATGAGCCGCATCACCAGGCGTGATAACATCTAAAGCCGCTACAATAACGCCTTTAGCCTTTTTCACGTGGTTGCTATGCGTGCGCGCACCTGCCTCGGCCCATCTCTTCCTTGGTCGAGTTAATTTTTGGACGTTACAAGTTTCAAGAAATCTGTTAAGGTGCTCTCTTCGTATATATTCGTTACTAGGCTCTTCCGTCACCGCGGTCGATGATTCCTCGTCACTGCTACTGACACTGTCTTCGTCTGGAACGAATAAACTTTCATCTTTCGATGACATTTCCATTATTCCTGTATATAATTCCATGAATTCATCGTTCACCGTCCCCTGAAATTTTGGGAAAAGGTTTGGTTTACTACTTTAAAAAAAAAGAGACTCGCGGTAAAAACAAAAACAAAAAAAACTAAAGCTGTTTTCACTTCCAACGTCCTAGTTTCTGTAAGTCTCTTGCTTATGATTTGTAAATACCTTTTGTTTTTTCTTGTGCCCTAAATCAGAGATAAACAATGACAGTAACAGAGTCACTTGATATAATGATAATGATAATGATAATGATAATGATAATGATAATAATAATATGTACTTGTCAAACGAACAATGACTTTTAAGTGACATCAATAATGAATTCCCAAGGAAAAGAATCTTTTCGATGAAACTTGGTACACTGCAGTAACAAGTCAGCAAAATAATATAAGATGATAAAAACGTAGAGGCCTTTTGGTCATAACAGCAAGCAGCACAAATCTTGACAAACAAGCACGATTTTTACTGTGTTGCCTGGGATATTAGAAAAGATAAGTGAGCGAGGACTGGGCCGAGTTTACGTGTAAGGCATGCACGAAAAGGCGGAAAAAGCAATGGAAATTCTATTAACGTTCTTCTCGATCGACTTTATTTTAATAATGTTTCTGCATAAACTTTCTCTTTCTCTCTTTCACGGTGGCCATTACCTGTTATGTGCAGTAATCATGAGCGGATGAAATTTGAAAAAATCAGTCCGTGCTGTAACCAGAACTGGATCGGCAATCGGAAACCACCTCAGAGAGCAGCATGATATGGAGCCTGAAGACATCGCACAAAGTTTTAGAATCTTAAGAAAGTGTCAGAACAAATTTGACTGCCTTATTTTTGAAATGTTTTTTATCCAAGAACTGAAACCGACGCTTAACAAACAGTGCGATTCAATTCGCGCCAAATTATTTGTTTAGAGTAGTTCTTGTTAACATTGCCTGCGTGCAGACGTCTCCTATTTCCTTTGTTGCACGCGGAAAAGGGACGTCTGCGTAACGCCGTCGCTAATCGTGTTCCAGTGTCCCGCTGGGTTCCCAAGATCTTGGGAACATGCTGTGATAGGCTGACACACAGTGAGCATTGTTCGACTTAACGCTGATTGGTTGTTATTGAATCTGGTCTGATAATGTATGCAGTGATTTATGTAATCGGGATTTTCCAGTCAAAGCAAATCAAAACATGTGCCATTGTGTGCAGACCGTACAAAAGCGGCGTGGACTTAGCACCAGGCAGGCATTTCGGAGAGAGCCAGCCAAAATAACTAAAATCTTTATTTAGCCGTAACAAACAGAGGTCAAAGAAAATTTAAACACTTTAGAACTGCATCTGAAATCAAATCCTATCAGGAACACCCACAGAAGCATAAACCACAGGAAATGATTACTCAGTGTGCATGTAACAAACCTGCTTCATGACCTCTAAATGTAAGACTTAGTGCGGCAAAAACGAGATTTACTCAGTCAAAATTTAGACTGCTACATGCACTGTGTAGTGCGAGAGAGAAAAGAAGAAAAACCTCTGTTCAAGCAGACTCTCAAGGTCACGTTTCGCATTATCACGAGCTTATGATGTTGTGTTTGGCCTGTCAACTCTTATTACAAACCGGATATTATTTCACAATTTATGCGAAATAGA